GCAGGCAGGGTTTAAGCTTCCAATTTTAGTTTTAAAACTGCGTGTTATACGCCGATAAATACGGTACTTTTACAATTGTTCATGCAAGATCAATTATATTTAAAAGATGAAGGCAACATGCAGTCATCTAGTACAAGATTTAAAATATTAACTCACTCTCTCTCTCTCTGAAGATATGCTTTAGAGAAATTAGAGTAGAAAAAAATGTACTTACCAAAAGAGAATTGGATCTATGATTATGTGAATACTGCTGAGAAAAAAAATCTGTAGTATGATCCAGTCTATTATGTCCTCCATACTCCGGAGCATCAGAATCCAAGGCAATTTTATATGTATGGCAATAGTTAAGGATTTCTATAGCGGAATTACATAATTTTAAATAAGAGATAATACATAGAATATAATATAGTTAATTGCAGAAGTGAGCTCTTTATATAACAATGTTTAGATATTTTATGTGTTGTATGTCATGAGCTGAATGCACATGGCTTTTCATTAGCATGCTGAGGTCACATTCCAAAAAATATATCAAAGCAGTCATAAAAAATAAATTTCATTTGCTTAATCTTTTTCAGATAAATGTAATTAGATCTAAATAAAATAATTAGATGTAGTTATCTTTCAATATACAAAATACAGATGGCTCTTAGTATGTTTAGCAATTTTCTTCTTCTATATAATTATAATTAGGGAACAAATTTTGAAGACAGTTTAGGGAAATAGGTTGTTAAAAGGAATCAAACTAATCTACATGAACAAGGGTTATATATACTACCATTTAAGTACCTGTTTAGCATTGAGTATAAAATATATTTACCTATTTTACCTGAAGGAATAAATTTAGTCTATACCCAGTTATTTAGTAATAAACTGTTTGTAGGAAAATTGAATTACTTTGGCGTAAACATGTGTAGGACTGCCAGTAATCAGGAATTAAATATAAATAAAAATTACTTAACATATGAACTTGGGTCCCACTTAATTTACTCATGCTTTACCATCATTAACTCAATGTGACTTAAGTCATAATTACCAAAATGTTCCAAGTGGAAAGCCAGGGGATTATTAGCAAACTTAATACAATGGAAACTTTTAAAAATGAAAAGCTATGAGATTTATTTACAGCAAAAAAAAAGTCAAATACCATTCATGCATTCACACATAAACTCACATAAATATATTCAAGAAAAGTTTGGATATGACAGCCCTTCCCTTAAGGAAGAACAACCCTGAACTCCATTCGGTGTAAAAGGTTTACTTTATTAAGGGCCAAGTATATTACCTTATAGAAAAGTCAAAACTGAGGTTTGCACACCAACTTTTCATGGATAACTTTTCTCCCTTTGTCCCTTCCTATTGTTGACCTCTCATTGTCCAATCATATTCAAATAAAATGTTTTAGGAACAGTCTTTTCAACTGTAAAGTAAACGGTTTGGAGGTGAATGCCTTTCCCAGACGTCTGACCTTGAAGTTGTGTCTTTAGAAGCTACGATGAGTCATTAGCCTCCACCCCCATCCAGCTCCCCCATAGTTCATGGTAGACTGGCAGCTAACGTATGCGAAGGGCAGGAGTGAAATGGCAATTCTGACAGGTCCAGTTAATAATGTAAGAAAGGCTGCTATAAATTTATCAGGATATTACAACCTTTGAAATCATTCAATCATACTTTCTAAATGCTAATTCAGATTTCTTATTCTGCCACATAACTAGAATTAGGCAGCATTTTCTTTGAGACTTATTTGTAACATTGTTGCATTAGCAAGTCCTTCCCAAAGGTTTTTTGAATATCCTTACTTTGTTAGATAGACTTTTTTCTTTCCAAAGATACAAATTAATACTGATATGGCAACTATAACTTTTCTATTCCAGCAATGTCCTTAATACTGTAGATCCTTGGCTAAATCTGAGACCAAGTCATTCGAATTGATGAAAGCAGAGAGCTCTAATTTCTTGTCTTCTGGATTATCCTCAGGTTCCAAAATTCTTTGTGCCTGTAAAGAGACAGGGATGTCTGTGTCTGTGTGTATATGTGGTGAGATGAAAGAAAAAGATCTTAGAGAAATAAGGATTACAAAAATGTGCCTACAAAACAGAAGACATGAAGAACAAGCTTAGAGTCTAAGCCTTAGACTGACTTTTCCCTAATTCACTTGAATGTACAAAGGGAGAGGCAAAAAGTCAAGTTCTGTTAGTAAGCCTCTATCAACAGAATACCAACCAGATTTATAGATGCAATTTCCTGACTTGGTCTAAATGAAAGGCCTGACAGTCTCTCACACAGAACATTTTTCTCCCTAGCCTAGAACAATATACAGTATTTCCTACTAGAGTGATGATATACAGATATAACACCACCTGAAAATACTGCACATGCATAAATTCCAATATAGAGGTTGAATCTATATCATGTGTTGATAAATTCTCACCACAGCAATGGCAAACTGAACTTCTGCTACAAGATGTAACTGTTTTTATGCTCAAGGTGTTACTACTTTTTTTTAATGGGACTAATTTCCTCTAAGAACGCTGAAAGATTCTGATCAACAGCTATAGCTTACAGAAATTATTTAATAAAACTCTTACATTAATAACTGTTCCTGAAAAATTAAATGATGAAAATTACTTAGGGCAGCCTTTGCTTGACCTAAATCTCTGCGAACGTATTACAATGTGTTCAAAGCTGATGCTTAAGTCAGCATGTTTCACAGAGGATTGACCCAGAAAAACTCCTAAAACAGCATGCAGAAACTTTCTTCCAGTAATTGTTTATATTGGCAATCATTTTTAGTTCCCCCTTGCCTACCACAAAAAGATCAAACTACTTTGGATTATTTTATTGCTGCTTCTCCATTGAAATATGATTTCAGCAGGTGCCAGCATACTGCTGAAATGATTCATTATGTATTTATAGAGGTAAAACAAGTACCTGAAGTGTTGATGGCAGCTGGACCTGTTAAGTCACTAGTGATATGAAAAAACACAATGAAGGCTGAGTGAAGCTGTAAGAAAACCAGTCTGTCAAAGGCACAGAGGCAAAAATTAGATACAAACATCTAAATTAAACCAAGTGATATAGAAGCTATAAAGCAATTAAAAATTATAGCCAATTATAAACCAATTATTTTGTTGCCAGGTATCTCCACATTCAAATTTGGAAAGCCTCAGGAAAAGGATATATTAAAATATAAAAGCTGTTATACTAAAAAGTATCTGCTGGGCCCAAAGGCCTTTTTTGCCAAATTGCTCTGCATTTTTTATGCCTTATTTAATGTTACTTTTTCTTCCTGTCATTTGAAGACTTTTTTCTCCATAGCCTCCTTCATTTTATCATTTCTCCAAATATTTTTTTCATACATAGTTCCCCTGACACTCCTGTGGCATTTTCTAACATAATAATTCTTGTGTTTTAAGGTTTCTTCATTATTTTTCCTTATGTCATTTCCATACATTATGCTGGGACACTAAATAAGATTCTTATTCTTATATAAAGACTTATTTTTATTGAAGTTTTCCAGTTTAACATGCTTTTCATTTGTTCTCCTTCCTATTCCCTTTTCCCCCCTCCAAAGTTCCATTGTTGACACCATCTATATGGAATGTTGAGTCTGGGAATATGAATCAGACTGAAAAATACTGTAGGCCAGAAATATCTGTCCATTCATTTCTTAATACAAATGTGTACAAATATCTCTTCCTAACAAAATTCTCTAACTAACCCCTTTTCCTTTAAATAAACCTAATAGAGTTGTGCATTTTTGGCTATGATCAGCTTTATGGGTTTGGCATTATTAATAGACTTTCATCATTTTTGTTATTCATTATTATCTCAAACTTTTATCAGTTATATCAAATCAATCAGATTGTTATGTGTTGTTCATCTGAGTTTGTATTTACCTACTTTTAAGAACTGCTAAGGACCAGATGATTTTTACTATATCCTGATATGTAAAACCATAGAACTCAAAAAGGATGTACTTTCTTTTTCACATGATGTAGATTCAATTCCAGCAAGATGGAGTTGCTTTGGGTTTGGAGACTATCTTGAGTATTTCATTGTTGGTCACAGATGCTGCTGGTTTTGAATTTAATCATATGTTGGAAGTCCTTTTGGACTTGAAGGTCTTCCTCATAGTTAGAGGACTTCTATATCTGGTGTACCAGATATGGCTGTTCCTGGATCAAGAGGCTCTGTGCCTCTTGTCATTTATTGCTTGGATTATTCTAGAACAGAACAGAAGTGCCCTGAAAGTAATCTAGAAAATATAGCTGGTCCAAATGCAATGCATGTATTATGACTTGCTTATGTTTGAGATTTGCCAGCTCAACAAGTTTATGCTTGAATAATATTTCCTTAGACTATATTAGAAAGTATTTCCTTGATTATTGATGATCAGGGTCCACAGTATTGTCAGGGATGCTACACATTCTCTCCATGACCAGTTTTCCTTGTTACCTTCTGGGAAAAGGCTTTGTTGTATTTGAAGCAGAACATCTAGATTCAATCACAGCTTTGTTCCATATATTATCAACCATGTAAACTCTCAAGTTTCCTCTTTCTACTATGTATTTAAAATGGACAGTGATTTATGTGTGTGTGTGTATTTATTGAGAGCGGGCAACAGAATTTCATTTTTAATGTGTGCTTCTCAGAAAAATATGACAATGAAAGTTATCTTATCTATCCTATCTACTATGTATCTTTGATCCTATTCAACTTATGGAATATTAATACACTGCTTAGAGTGGGCTTAATTAAGTAAATAAAACTGGTAATTCTTCCTAATTTTTTTTTGCTCCCAGTTCCATTGATTTTTAGTTGGCTGAATACATACAAAGTATTGTCTTCATTTACATAAAGCTATTAAGAAGAATCCTATGATCAAGCAAGTTATGCAGTATGAAAACTGCATAATGGCACACCAAATTTGAATCAGCCTTTTCATACTTTTGCAACTAAGACAATTAGTTTATATAATTAAGAATTCAAATTATGATTAGTGTGTACAAATTAATTTAGCACAATATCCCCTATTCATAAGGGAGATTCCGTACCTTACTGACATTAAGAAATTAATATCTGCTATCTCAAATCCATACGTAAAGCTTACTTTAGAAATTTGGGGAATATAGCCTAATGTTTATTCTCTTTTTTCTTCTTTGCTTTTGATTTGAGCTTGCTGTATTTTTTGTATTGTGGAATTCTTTTTAATAAAAAGCAAGAAAGGATCAAACAACTCCCCTCCCCAGTTAAAGAAGGAATCATGGCAGCCACCCTTTCTTATGACGTATAAGGAAATTCTTGCCACAGATTGAACACTGAAATTAATCTAAAGCCATTAGATAGGAAGCGATGATAGTTTTATTCTTAATTTCTTGAAAGGCAAATTATCAAAATAATAGTTCTTACTCAGAAGAAATAGTACCTGCTTTCTATAGTTTCAGCAGTCTCAGGTTGCTCATGCTGCAAACTTTCCCTGAGGAGTGCTGCTGAAATATATCCAAATCTGTAAGATGTTAAGAGATTCATTTTCATTTTGAATTAATATTTTCAATTTATTACATGAAATCTGTGTTGGGTCTCCGCTAGCTGCTTTCCTAGCACACTTATCTAGGTTGAGTGTTTCAGAACACACTCAAATATTTCAATATTGCATTAATGGAAGATCACATAAATCAAATTGATATATTTAATGAATACACTTAGCTTATTTTTTATCAAGAATGTAAACATTCTACATTGTTCTAGTTTTTTAAATTTTAAAAAGAAAAATATATTATGAAAATAATAACAGAGAGAGCAGTGACAATATCTTTCTATGCTACTTGTACCTTCATTATTTATCAACGTACTTATTATTTGGAATTTGGAAAAATTTAATCAAGAAAATTTTGAAATGAAAAATATATATGGATGTTTGCTTGGAAATGTCCCCCCTTTTGCAATATACAAGGTGGCTGCTGAGAAACAAATTGCAAAATATATTGTTATACAATATATGTTTTCTGCAACTCCTGAATGATAAATGCAGTATCAGTTTAAGAAAAAAAAACCTTACTTTTATAATTTGGCTATTTTAACCTCCTACATTAGCTCAAACAACAAAAGGAATATTAATCATGATCAGTTTGGAAACAAATGTGTTATCTGTATTGTGTTCACTAACAAAATAGCAGAACCAATGACCCTTAATGCAGAGTGATACTAAAGTGAGAATCTGACACGATTTATTATATCTCACACTTAATTACTATGTTTTTGTTTGAATAGAGGCTATTTATCTATATATTCAGTTGCTTATGTAGGTAGAAAAATTCATAATTACTCTAGTGTTTTCTCCCTAGACTGTTACCTAATTTTTGGAAAAAAAGATAGTTATCTTTTTCTTCTATAGAAACCTTTCTTGGATAGCTGAACGGAAGTTGAAGAAAAATATTTTATTACTCTGTTTTTAAACAGTCAAAGGCTGAACTGTTTGTGGCAAACAAACAAAAAACTGAACCAAAAAATCCTAAATGAATTTAATCAATTTTATTTGATTTATATCCATTTGTTTTTCCTCCATGAAACTGAAGATAGATAATTTAAGGATTTATGAGGTAGCTCCCAGTTTTTATCTATATCCTCTTGCTTTTGCAAGTATAAAATGTTTAGTTTTTTAGCAAAGAGAATGGAGAAGTGGCCTTTGACTGATATAATAGCAATATTGACTGATACTGCAGTAATATGCAAAGAAGTATAAACTATTTGGCTTGCAATTATATCTCCATCAATTTGTATATTGATGGAGAGATTTATTTGAAGAACCTTCAGCTTTATATTGAAGTTACAGGAGCCTACCTGTGTTTTCTGAAGAATCAAATATATTGGATTATGAGAAGGAGGAAGAGATGAAAACGTTGTTCAAAGATAGTATGCAAATATAACACTTTTCAGAAAATCCCAAGAGTTACTCTTATATTTGTATAGTTACATACTTGTGATTGTACATAAGTAATTACAAACTAATAATCAGTGTGCAATCTACTATCAAAAATAAAATAATCTTCCTAATAAAAATGGGGATTTAAGTATTTGAATAATACTGCAAAAACATTCACATTTTAATAGTATTAGCTGTAATAGATTAAGCATCTTGATGAAAGTTGGCATTTTGTGATCTTAAGTTAAATTATTTGTCTCCATTTTATGTAAAGATTGAATTCCAGGGACACTTACATAAGTGCACTTCAAAGCATGAACAAGCAAGCAGCTCAAAGAGACAATTTCGCCTTGGGCAATCAGTCTCTAGTGACTCATTCCAAGTGACCTTGTTTGCTCATTAGAAGGTCTAGGTGCATCTTACAAATGTCAGGAAACTTTAATTTGCTTTTTCAAAGATGGATGTAATCTGAATGTTGATGTTAATTTTCCCAAGATTTCAGGTCATATCAGCCATTATTTACATTGCTATTGAACTGACATATTCTTCCATTCTTGTATGAATTTGCATTAGTACATCTTTGCTCAACCTGTTAAGGCATATAATATTATATATAAGGCATGTTTTCATGCCTTATATATAATATTCAAATCTAAGCATATTGCACCTAATACATATTAGGATAAAAGAAAAGAGTCTACCTAGTAGTCAATGAATTCAATGAAATGTATTCTTCTGAATTATCAACCAATGTAAATCCCACAGTTTGATGTATATAAACGAGATAGACTAATAGTGAACTATATTCTTTTTGATGTTGATTTGTCAAGGCACCTCAGGACACTATAAATGGGTTATCAATTGCATAAACCTACGTATTTTTCTTTTCTAGTCCTAATTATTGAATCCTTTTAGTGCTTTCCATCTTTCATTTGCCCCAGGCTATTGGAGAGTAGCACTTTATTCTGTTCCAGAAATATCTTAAAAGATCCTTAAATATTTATAAATTCCTTAAAATAACCAACCTAGAACTAAGAAGAAAATTCCTGACCATGACAACAATTAATGCCTTACCTCTGAAAGATGTGGGTACTCCATTACCGGAGGTTTTCAAGAACAGAGTTAGTCCAGAATAATATAGAGTCCTGCTTGGATAGTGACTTAGACTAGAAGACTTCCAAGGTCCCTTCCAATCCTATTATTCCATGTTCTATGTTCTATCCTCCACTGCTGTCCACATACACTTTTCTGAAAGGTCCACTTGTTATTTATGAGACATACATGTGGGCGTTGAAGCTAGAGAGAAAAGATATTAGCTATCCACTCCTAATACTTAATTCATCTCGATGAAATCATTCTCATGTAGGTCTAAGTTAGCAATCTCCACAGATAATAGAAGTTATTTTAAGATCTATATGAACATGACATTTTTGTTGTTTATTTGTAACTGATAGGAAGAGATCTTTCCTATGGATTTTAAAAAATATTTGTTTCACAGTGTCATCATACTACCAGTACACACATTTCCCAATAAATACTATTTTAAAATTTTATTTTAGAGAATATGCATTAATGGGTGATATAGTAAGAACAAGAATTTAAGTTTTATATTTGCGGTAGGTGGTATCATTAACTTTGGACTATACTTCCAATAATTATCATGGACTTCCAGCTGCTATCTAGTTCTTTCTGTGAGACTAGACTGAAGCTACCATACCTAAAGATAAAGCTGGCACATAAGGGTAAACAAAAGCCAGGAATTTTGTCTAAAACATCCCTTAGAGGAGATAGTTAAGAAGGAACCACGTAGCTAAGGAAACAAATGAATTTTTTTTTTTACATGAACCGGACAAAGGAAGTTGGGCCTGGCCACATGGAAAAACTCCTTCCCAAGTCCCATCAATAGCTACCAGACTTAAAAATCAACAAGGCAAGTGTAGCTGCCAATGTTGTGAATCAACAACACAAGGACTTTGGGAGACAAAAGGATTCCTTAATTCTACCTAGTATTTGAGTCATCTTTGGATTTAGACTTGGCAACTTCCAACTCTCTGGCTGGTATCTGGCAGTATAGTTGAGAATGATATGCATGTGGGTGACAGTATGTGTGTGTGACAGAGAAAAAGGACAAATGTATTTTATAACAGTAAAGTTTTGCTGTTACTTTAAATTTACTAGGTCTCCATGTATTCCAGAGAACTAGCTGTGCCTCAATGTTTGATTGAAAGTGTTTTGATTGTGGCTGTTGACAAAGGCTGTGTGTGGGTAACCATAACCATAACCTGGAAACACATGTAATACTTTCTGGAATATTTACATTCCTTCTAACTTCGAAATCATAGAACAACTACTTCTATAACACTATGCAATTGTCTGAAGTAATCATGTATGAAAATTAGGAACCTCTTCATGCTGAAACAGTAAGGCATGGAACAGAACAGGTCTAAAATTATTCTGACTTTGAAATATTCTAAGCTTGAAACAGCTGTTCCAATTTACAAAACAAAATTTATATATTCAGAGTCTGTTTGAAGCAAAACGTTCGTTCTAGAGTGATATGGAACAACATTGCTATTTTTATTGAAATTACTTTAGTAATTATAGGCTTTTCTAAGCACAAGATTAGACTTTTATTAGTTTTATAATACTAGTTTTATAAACATTTATAATAGTTTATCTTTCCTAATTTTCCAGTTTAGTCAATGCAGCAGCATAAATAATAATTTAAAACTGCCATTAGCTCAATTAACTTTGGTGATGTAGACGAAGTGCTGGGAAAATGCATAATTACTTAGCTGCCTGTCTCAAGACTGAAAGCTATGGTACATTCTATCCTTATGTAGATGACATGTTGTATTGAAATTGACTCTGACTAGAAATATATGTAAACCATTATAGATCCATACAAGCAATATTAATACACACTGCTAATAGTGTTGAGACTAGGTATGATATGGATGTAAATACTATTAGCACTAAGTCAATTTTCTGAGTTTTGGGATGAATGCAACAAGTAGTTCTAGGCTTATGACCACAATTTCTTGCCACAGTTTATAAGTGAAGCACTGCAGTTAAGTTAGTAGCACAGTTGTTAAGTGAATCTGGTTTTCCTGGTGACTTTGTTATTAAAAAGTTGTAAAAGGTGATCACATAACGCCAGGCCATTGCAACCGTCATAAATACATGCCGGTTGCCAAGTGTCTGAATTCTGAATACATGTGTCAGGCTTGCAGCCATTTTTTTTTTTTTTTGGATCTTTGGCCTGCCACACTTTCTATTATTCTACTATGCACTTTCTATTGTGGGAAAATGGAAGGGGGGATTGTATGGAGTTAGATGATATCTAACCATAACAAAATTATTTCTAGAAAGCCAAGGTCATCCTTTGTCTTTGTACTTCTGGACCTGACCGGAACTGGATGGGCGGAACTGCCAGCATGGCAGTGGAAGATTGGACTATGTGATAGACTTGTGTGTGGGGGGGGGGCAAGATCTTGAACTTTCAACTGGGTGGGGAAAACCATGAAGCTTTCAGATTCAGGTTTTCCCAGATGTGCCAACATGGCTCTCCTTAATAAATTGGAACTTTGAGGAATGTTTTGCCTTGGACTCTGATTTAATTTTGGATGCTATTTGGAACCCTGACAACATAACTGGGGGGATGGTTGCAATGGTGGTAAGTGTGAAAAAACAGTCATAAGTCACTTTTTAAAGTACTGTTGTAACTTCAAATGGTCACTAAATGAATGGTTGTAAGATGAGGACTACCAGTACAGGCATCCTATGTATTCATATGGTACTTTTACAGTTCATTTCAACATAGTTTCTCTTCATTCATAGAGCTTGCCTGGAATTTATAAATCCAATAATGATGCATTAATTTAATGGGAGCACCTGACTGACATTCTTTGGATTCAGAAAATAGATGAAATTGGCTCTGGTTAGTACTTGGATAGTAGACCACAAAGAAATTCAAAGGCCATAGTCTACTCTGAAAATTGACAATTGGTTGACAGTTCTTTAATTATTGCTTGTTATTTATTGCTTGATTGTTCATCTGATATTAATCCTTGTCATCTGGATATTGATTTCTACTGAAATGTTCTAGTCTTTTTGATTCCAACCCAATTGTCTAAGAAGAATCCAATAGTCTAGAAGGAAAAAAATCTGAACTATTCAATAGCAATAGCAATAGCAATAGCAGTAGACTTATATACCGCTTCATAGGCCTTTCAGGCCTCTCTAAGCGGTTTACAGAGAGTCAGCAT